GATATTTACAGTTTGACGACTTTGATAAGGAAATAATTGTTTTACTCGCGTTCCAAGGGAGTAAATATCTTTTATTGTGCCTTGTGATCTAATCTGTTTTTGTTGTGTGCTATACTTCACATATTGTACATTGGTTGTAGACCTTGACCTTTGACCTTCCTTCAAGCAATGGGCACAGTTGAGCATGCTTGGACTTATTTTTTGAACTTTGTTTATTTTTTGACTTTGAACTTTGTCCGGGACTAACTCTGAAACTATAAGAGATATCAAAGATGAAAATTTGTAGGTAGAATAAATCTCATTGCGTAGATATGCAATGCAAAAGAATTGTAAGCTTTCCTAATTTTATGGAGTTATTGTCCTTTTTCAACTTTACACTGTGAACTTTGTTCGGGACATAACTGTGAAACTACAAGAAAATAAAAAAAAAACTATGTCGGTAGAATAGATCTCATTGAGTAGAAGTGTAGTGCAAGAACAGTAATTCTGCCTAATTTTTGGAATTAATTGCACTTTGAACATTTCCGGGACATAAATCTGAAACTACAAGAGGTATACTTTTATGTGTCCAACAAATATTCGTGGAACATTACCCGGTTCAATCGGCTCTTGTTTCGTTTTCAGTTAGTGATGTATAAATTTGAAGAATTAGATTTTTCCATAGGAACTCTGGAACAGGACCGCATATTGCGGCGCATAAATCCGAATCCGTACCCGCTTTATATATTGTTGGTCCGACCTTTGAATATCTTTTCATATTATAATACCGTACAATTTGACTAGTTTTAAAAAAGACAGATTGGGTTCAATTGATAATAATATTTTTGAGGCCATATACTCGGATAATGCTAAAAGATATTTAGATGTAGCAGATACGTTTTTTAAAACCGTTACACGATCGAAAATATGCGCCGCAATCTGCGGTCCCGTACTCGAGTTCCTAAGGATTTTTCACTGCATGAAAGATTTGTTTGTTTGATAGCAAATTTAACATAAAAAAGGAATGATTGTTTGATAATGAATAGTTTCGATACAATGATAAACTACATTAATAAAGTAAGATTTCTAGATTAAATTGAAATACAGATTTTCAACAGAAAAAGCCAACTGATTTGTAGCTGATTTGAAAATATATTGCGTCAAAGATAAACATATGGATTTAAAAGATAAGTTTTTTGTGTCATTATTATGTGAAATGAAATATGCAAATAGGTATACAATTTTCACATTTTTTGCCCTTAATATAAGTCCCTTTTAGAGCACAGATTTTGTAAATGTTTGTCCCCGGTACGCGTTTTACTCTATAAAAAACGAGTACTTACTGACTGTATTTTACCGATTACCACATAAAGGTTTAGCGCAAAACGTTTCCTGCTCGAACATTTGTTTGTATTTGGTCATGCCAGTCGTAGATAGAAATGCATTTCTGATTCAATTGTTATAAATAATAAGTAAGTATATTGTTTAAAATATGTATTATGCAGTAAGTAGAATCGTAAACGGTTTTCTGGCTTTAAATGAAATAGGAGTCTTGATGAACCTGTTTTGACATTATGTCAGAGGTGAGCTTTTGCTATAGCATGATGTCTGTTTTGTGTTATCATCAGAAGTTTTTTAAATCAACATTTCCTGCATAACCAAGAGTTGACACTCAAAAATTTGCGACACCATGCTACAGTATATTTCATCCTAATTTTGCTGCACAGAAACATATCTGTAAGCATAACGGGAAAATTAAAAAAAGATACATTTGGAGAAGTTTGTGCCATTGCAATCGCAATATATATGCCTAGAGCATGGTATGTATTGTTTTACTCAGATGGAAAAGCGAGCTAGGGTTATGCATTATCTATTTACTTACACACACATGATAATATGTTTCTTAAGTGACAATCTAACTAATACAAATAGTTTTATAGATAAGCAAATAACAATTTTAAATAATTTTAGTAGTTGTGGGCATCTTTACATAATCGAAGTATTTAATTACATAATTAAGGCTTTTTTTGCATCATTTGACCTCTTTTTTGGTAATTTACGTTGGTTGCAAGTGTCAGTGATAATGCGTAAATTGCTTCGTTTTGGTTACTTCACAAATTTATGCTTCAATAAAAACATTTTCAAAATGTTTATAAAAATTAGTATGAATCTGGAGGCGTGATGCTTTAAAAGTCCAAGGTTTTTTTTTAAATAGATTGTATTTCATCGAAGTCACTTTAAAGTCCCAGTACATAACACATATCAAAACGATACTTTGACGTTATTTTAAAACTGTTCTCATCAACAAAAATACTAAATCATAAGAACGTATCGTTAGTGAAATTTAGAAGAAAAAAGAACAATATCTTATTCCAAGCATGCCGTTAGGTGAAAATTACACCAATAGAATCCTGACATATAAGGTCCCACTGAAATATAATAATACTCGATCAGGCTTGGGCTAGCTATCAACATCTTATATCAAATGCTGAAGAGTTTGCTGACATTACTTCAAGCTATCAGTTTCAATATGGAAACAAATAATTATACAATATCGACCGAGTATGAGTTCCTTCTGTTTATAAAAGACCTGGTCGCGACGTTCATGGTACTCCGAGAGCAGAATGATCGGTGTACGATGCCGATATCCTATTTACACACCGTCATACTATTAGCTTAAGCAAAGGCTGATAACGACTCATATCTCATTATATCCCAACCACTTGAAATAATACATAAAGATATTATTTGTACAGAGAGCAAATGCAGGTAAACGCTTTTATCAACGCTTTGCCTTTGTATGTACTTGTCTTTCTCAGAGTGAAATACAATCACCTACCGGGTCCTTTGTCAATACCGATCCATTTGGGGTAATACTTTCACTACTGTTTATTTAAACACGAACTTGAAATAGAAAAATACTTGCAGTTAAATAAGGACACTTAAGATTAATTACAATTACAAAGTTTGAATTATATACAAAAACTTTGTCATTGAAAGTGGACGATTAAACAATACCGACAGACAACGATACTGTACTCAATGTAATATGAATATGGTTGAAGATCCTTACCATTTGTTACTTGTTCGTCCTTAATTTAGGCTGTAACGAATCTAAACTTTCACCCCGTAGTTTTTATAGATGGTCATCTATTCAAAAGTTTACTATTTAAATGTCAACATAATGTACAAAATCTATTTACAAATTAGGTCGATTTTTATATTTGGCTTTCCTTTCAGAGAAAGACAAATGAACTATGAAATAATTATTTGAGAGAAAAACTGGTAATTAGAAAATTAAAACTGCTCTGACACACCCCTCCCTTATTGCCATTTTATCATAATATTTGGCACCTTTTTAATTATTGTTTAATATAGTTTATTTATATTATATAGAGGGTAGTTTTGGATATTATCATTAATTTTGGTTATTTGATAGAATCACAATTTCATATGGTATTTTCTTTGGAACATACAAAATAGTAGTAAACATGAACAAAGTCTGTTAATTGATTTATTGGGAGGTAAATCTACTATATTAATGAATTACTTCAAAAACCTCGTCTGACCCACCAGTGTGTTTATATTTCTATCATTAAACCCATGACAACGCATGTTAAAATTGCAGACGAAAGTTTCTCTTGTTCAAATGTCACACTATTCGGCAAATGAACATTCCACTCAAACTACCATAAAATCGATTGCATAGAACAGTTAGATACAGAGACTCTTGAACTATAGTATACTACTGCTAGACCTGTTAACTGTCGCACAACGTCAAACTAATAGCGACATTTAATGTTATAAACTATAGGTCTTTTAAATATTCACGGTAAAAATGTCATAAGTGCAATCAGGGCCGTAAAAAACGGAGAGACCTATATAAAAAATCAAGTATTTTAATCTGTCCAATTAAACGACAGTTTACTTTTTATGAGTAAATTTATTCAGCTCATTTAAAATGTCAGGTACATACATGTTTTGTGAGTGATTTATCGTATTAAACACTTTTTACAGTTTATTTTATCTATATTTTATTCAATAAGTTTGGAAAGTGTCTGATAATGCTATTCGGTTTAATACAAAGAAGATGAATGATATAAAGCATAACCATAATAGTATGTCTGTTTCAATAAGCAAAAGTTACGAGATAATTCCTCCCTTGATGGCTAAACTTTTAATTATAACCGACTTTTAGTGTAAATTGTGGAAGAAAAGAGAAAGAATATCCCTCGTGAAAGTACTCTAACTCAAGACCTCACCAATCTGAGTCTGGTTCGTAACGACCACCCGCCATTCAAATTTTTTGTGTATTTTTGGAAAACAGGTTTAGGTCTATTAAAACACATTGAAGTGGTCTTATTTTGATAGTTAAAATCTTTAAGAAATGTAAAATGGAATGCAATAATCATGAACCGCAAACCTTCAAAAAGTTCACAAAGTCTTGCATCCGTCGGCTATTTATAACAATTTTTACTCTGAAATATGAATAAAATAATATTTTTTAATGTTTAAGTAACCATGATGACATATAAATATCACTACTGTTGATATGGGAATCTCTTATCGACAGATATTCTGAGATTCAGAGTGGAATGAAGTACGTGGCACACACTCATGACGGTATAGGACATATTTGCACGTTGAATTTAGGTAACGGCTTTGTCCTGCTTCATATTTGTAATATTTGAAAAAGTCCAATCAAAGTTGATTGGATTACAATTTCACAATACTGAAGAAAAAAAAAGAGCTGCCAATAATGTAGGTCTTTGGGTCAGACTGTACTGACGTGCATAATGGCTTTGCTCTATATTAATTGATAATACTAATAAATGTCGGTTTCAACGCCATGTGTAAATAAAAAGTTAAAGGAAGATAATTTAGCTTGCTTAAAAATAGCACACGGTACATTTCACTAGCTGTTATCAGTTCTCAGAAGAAGTGAAACTTATTTTTGGAAATTACGAAAGGAATGTGTATTTTCTTCAAGGTCATACCTATACAAAATATTGATCTTAATACAAACGGGCGGTTTAAGAGTGTAAATAATCATAGGCCTAATCAAGATTTCTTTAATTTTGAAGTGTACTTGAAACTGTACGAGACATTCTTGTTTACTTATATTTTGATCGAGATAAGGGAATAAATTTTGACAAAATCAATTGCACAGGACAGGTGCATTTATAAAATTTATTTAAAGCGGTAAGTTTGTGTTATAATTATTTTAATGTTTTGTTTTAAGTTAATTATTATTTTATAATATTAATCATATATTTATTTTGCATATTATTATATTATAATAATACTATATTACCTTTTTCAGTTATTTTTGTCAAATATGAACATATATGAAAGAGTTTCCTCTCATCTTCTGGTTGCTGCTTTCGACTTTGGGACGACATTCAGTGGTTATGCCTTCTCATTTCGTGACAAACCGTTAGAGATAGTTGCAAACAATAATTGGAACGATGAATCCAATCTCTCTTTGAAAACACCTACTTGCATATTGCTAGACCCTGAAGAGAAATTCCATTCCTTTGGATATGAGGCAGAAAATAAATACAAAATGCTTTGCGAAGAGGACGAGCACCATAATTGGTTGTTTTTCAGACGTTTCAAAATGTTATTGCACAGGAATAAGGTAATGACGTACTAAAACTTACATACTTACTTAGGCCTTCGGCACATTTGTCTTTCTAATAATTGTCAAATTGTCATGAAAACTCTACCCTTGATCATCAAGAACAAAATTATTATCCATCACACGTTAACTTTGTAAATGACGATAGATGGCTCAATTTAACCTTATCAAATTTTCACTTAAATCAAATTTTCGTTTACAATCCTTTACTCTACACTACCTTCCTAGCGAAGGTACCAAGAGCTTCAGTAAGGATAAAATTTTTACAATATGGACCTATTTTGTTTTCATAATTTCATTTAGAAAAACGAAAACGTCCATGTACATGTATTACGGAAAAACGCCATGAAGTTATTCGGTAAATATTTTTTCATTAGCTCACATTCTTTACCAATTCGATTTGCTATAATAAATTCATTTCAACCAAATAATTATAAACATGATCAACTGCATTGGAAAACAGTTAACACGCATGCTTAATAGCTATTTGAATCTTACTTCAGAAATTAAATAGACAAACGACAGTCAAAGACATTACGGGAAAGCGACGCATGTTTGCTATTGACATTTTCTCATTGTCAATACGTTATCTGCGAGATCATTTCTTTTCGGAACTTCAAAAGAAATATTCAGGCATCGAAGAGACTGATATACAATATGTCATTACCATTCCCGCGATCTGGGATGACAACGGCAAACAATTCATGAGGATGGCAGCGTTGCAGGTATTAAACATAGCAGCTGATGTTTCTAAGCTCCAAATATTATCATTTCTATATTGAAATGTTGAATTCTGCTAAGGTGCTAGGAAGAAATTATCACTTCCGATAATGAATAGGATCAATCAAACTGAACCAACAAAATATTCAAAATTGCCATTTTGTGCGTTGTTAACAGATTCTATTGATCCCTTTTGTCAAAGCAAATTTATTTAATATAAAAGCTCGGTTTTTCATTAACATAAATCTTGCTAAAACAGACCCTTTTGGATTGAATGCGAATATGAATATGTAAAGATGAAATAGGTAAATAATGTACTGTTGACCTCTACATGTGTTTCATAGAGTGGTGTTAATTTCAATGATTTACGAAAAGTATCTACATTTACGTTTCTCTTATATAAAAATCCAACTGCTCCTGATACTATTTTATATGTTTCCGCTTTTCTTTACAGGCAGATATTAATAACGCGAAGTTGACACTTGCTTTAGAACCAGAAGCTGCATCCATCTGTTGTAAAAGGATAACCGTTGATTCAAAAGGCCAAGAATTTTTGACTGGTTTGCAGTATATCGTGATAGACATTGGAGGTAAGCGATAATAAGTGTTGATCGGTTTGAAACGGTTTGTACATAAATAAGATAGCTTAATGATTTAATTTTAAACGACAGCAATAATAGCAATTATTAAGTTGACTGAATATGTTTTACTTAATAATTAATCAGTGTTTATTCCCTCTGTTAGGTGGTACTGCAGATATAACGGCTCATCAAATAAACGACAATGGAACGTTAACCGAATTGTACAAAGCCAGTGGAGGACCATGGGGTGGAATAAACGTCGATAACAACTTTTTAGACTTTTTAAAAGATTTATTTGGAGAGCAAGTTATGAGTTCTTTTAAACAAAAACATCTTGAAGACTATTGGTATATGCTGCGAGAATTCGAAACCAACAAGAGGCAGGTAAAATTTGCCGGTTGTCATGAACAGGAGCAAACTTACATTACTATTAAACTTCCTTTAGCTTTAAGAGACATTTCTAAACATCAAAATGGCAAAGTCTTGGAGAAATTAATAGGTTCCTCATCTTTCTCGTCGGACATAAAAGTAAAAAGAGACAAAATTAGAGTTGGAGTAGAGTTAGTCAGAAAATGGTTTGATGGACCTGTTAATGATATCATACGTCATATTGAAGACCTACTTAAAACACCGGAAGTACGTCAAGTTACCACTTTGATCTTGGTAGGTGGTATGGCCGACAGTCCATACGTACAAGAAAAGATTAGATATGCATTTTCATCAAAGCGCTTAATCATACCAAAAGATGCCGGTTTGGCAGTTCTTAAGGGAGCAGTTGTTTTTGGACATGAGCCTTTGTCTATATCTGAAAGAGTTATGAGGTATTCTTATGGTATAGAAATGTTCCAACGGTTCAAACGCTCGACACACAAATCGTCATTTAAGGTAAAAGTGGACGGGAAATCATATGTTGATAATGTGTTTCATGTTTTTGTCAGAGCAGGCGACACTGTCCAAGTTGGTCAGGAAATTACGAAGATCGCGTCTCCAATCAACAAGGAATCCTCTTTGTATCCGATCTACCGCTCACTTAGCAGTGATCCTAATTATACGACAGAATCCGACTGTGAAATGATCGGGTTACTGACACTCAAACATGTTGGACAAGATGATTTTGAAAGCAAAAAGGTTAAATTAACTATGATATTTGGAAATACGGAGCTTATGGTAAAAGCTGAAGAAATAAATACCGTAGAGAAAAGTTCCTCGACATTCAATTGCCTAATGGAGTAAAATTTTAACTCCGGTTCGACGACTGAATTCATTTTGTAATTGTATACATATTTCTAATTACATTAAAAAAGTTTTGAGGAATATTTCTGGGAAGGGATCTTCCTTTTTCCAAATTTTGATTTTTGGTGTGTGTTTGTGCTTTTGTTTGATTACTATTTATCCAAAGCAAGTGTGTATTTTCCAGATGAAACGTGTAAACTTAGTTTGCATGATAAATATATACATGTGTTAAATTTTACACCATATTATAATGTTTTTTTTTTCATTTTACATGTTTTAGTTAATAAAACAGGTATATGCTATGTAGTCAATGAAAAATAAAATCTTCCCAGAGAAAGTCAATGTATTTTATGAGCGTTTGATCAACCTGTCATAGATTGCCTGGAAGTGTGAATGGACACGTTTATTCTAGTATTTGATCTTCTGTTAATTCAGGTGTTTGTTTCTGGAAAATCGATTATTAAAAGTAAAACCTGTACACAGTCTTATTATCAAGACAATTAGATATTTGATGACTTATATCTTCAGATCAAATAAACTTAATTTTTATAGTTTTTATAGTTTTGTGTAATAAGGATTAGGATGATGTGTTCCACCGTTTGACTGTACAATTTGTTCCCAAATGTGCAGATGCATTGATTACGAATTTATTTCGATGAACCCTAGATAATGAGATGCCTTTAAGCGTCTTCCATATCTATATAACTATATCCGACGGTATGTTATACTATATTTAAACGAAATAATATTGTTGCAAAACCATGCGTTTCAGTCTAAAATAAAGTAACTCACATTGACTGATATCAGAGGAGACAACAAATTTACTGCCGGTGATATACGCAATTATCACCTTTTAAACGTATAGGAAAGTTACATGTGAATTTCTGATTTAGACAACCCAGAGTCGCATAATAAATCCTTTTTCTCATGTTGATAAAATGTACGTTAGATAAAAGATATTGATCTCGTCCACAGAAAAAAATCCCGAATAAGGCAAACAATTTTATCTGTCAATGTATGTATATCATATAAAAGTATTTATCTATCACGTTTAGAAGAACTCTTATGTATAATAAGTAATTTACGTGCGATAAAACCAAAATTGTACATATTGACTTTAGATTATTTTACGTTTTGTGAAGTAACGATTAGATCTATAATAAAGCAAAAAAACTTCAATCCCTGAAATTAAGTGTACATATATAGTTTGTGAGGCTTAAACATTATTGTAGAACAATTTGCATGTAAGATTTCAAATTAGCTTTTTTATTGTTGTAAATTATTTATCGAAATACGACATCTATATTGTTCATTGCTTGCGTGGATCTAATATTAAAAATTGAATGAATTGTGAGCGCAATTAAATCCAGTGTGGAACCTTTTCAAATTTACTGTTTCTGACATTCTTTCTCTCTGTTATTGTTTATTTTCTGACGAAGAGACTTCGTATCCGTCGTACACATTTTAAAAGGTAAAAATGACTGAAACTTTAATTAATACAGAATTAGTTTAATTTCGTTTGTGTGAGATGGCGAGATTTCGATATTACTTCACGGGAGTGATCGGTACAAAACCTAGTTGTGCATATCGCCGGCACGTTCCTCCTCGCTGCACAAAATGACCGCCAGAGCTATAAATAAAAACAAATATTGTCCAACTTTCACAGGCCAAATCAGTGTTGTTATATTTTCAGGTCCTTCGGTTTCATTGATGCCAGCACTATAAAGTGTTGAGAATTGAGTACCTCTCAAGCCGGTGCTAGGGGGCGTGAGGGATGTTGCACTTATTCATTATCCCTCATGTACAGACTCAATCAAACCGAGTCTGCAATTCTTAATTTTGTTGTGATTAATGCTTCCGAGGGATCACTTTGTTTCCAGAATTTTATACTTTACAACAGCAGGTGTCAAGTGCCGTGTGGCAGCCGTAAAAAGTTGCCCCGTACTTCACTTCAGTGTTGTTATATTTTCTGGTCCTTCGGGATCATTGATGCCAGCACTATAAAGTGTTGAGAATTGAGTACCGCTCAAGCCGGTGCTAGGGGGCGTGAGGGATGTTGCACTTATTCATTATCCCTCATGTACAGACTCAATCAAACCGAGTCTGCAATTCTTATGTTATTTTGTTGTGATTAATGCTTCCGAGGGATCACTTTGTTTCCAGAATTTTGTACTTCACAACAGCAGGTGTCAAGTGCCGTGTGGCAGCCGTAAAAAGTTGCCCCGTACTTCACTTCAGTGTTGTTATATTTTCTGGTCCTTCGGGATCATTGTTACCAGCACTATAAAGTGTTGAAAATTGAGTACCGCTCAAGCCGGTGCTAGGGGGCGTGAGGGATGTTGCACTTATTCATTATCCCTCATGTACAGACTCAATCAAACCGAGTCTGCAATCCTTATGTTATTTTGTTGTGATTAATGCTTTCGAGGGATCACTTTGTTTCCAGAATTTTCTATTATGGATTAATCACTGCTTCACTTAAGTCAATCCATCCAAATGTGTTTATAGATGAATGCTCTTCCATTTGCATTTTGATCAATAAGGGACAACCGAAGCCTTGCTATCATTCTTACAAGGTGCAAACAAAAGTGCTTTTGTGAAATTAACAGGTATATCTGAAAGCTTCCAACGTTTGGAAAAGAACACTTTTTTTCGGCACGATATGGCCAGATATGTGTTGACGTGCCGTAAAAATCCAAACAAACAAAACAAAGAACAATTATTTGCCTTTAAAAAATCATTTGCTAGAATAGTTGTGTTTGAGTCTTAATATGATTTTCTTGTAACGAAACTTTGTCCATTCTCAATTGAGCCCTGATATTATTGATCCAAAGTACAAAGCTTAGTTTATTTTTATAGCTTCTGTAATGAGCTATCGTGTTTTACTCTTCATTTTTTACTAAGTAGAGTAGAACATTGGGAAGTCAAATGAAAAGGCACTTTTATCAAATCTTTAAGACATAGAGACTTATTTCATTGAACGCCATTGAACGCCGCCCTTCCTTGTTGATCTTGTTTATCATATTTTAATATTTGTATTAGTTTATTCACAAACCATTAAATATTTTTGGTTGCCTTTATGTTTTATGAAAAATTATACAAACAAACTTGTATGTAACTTTCAGAGTAGTTTGAAATTGATTTTACAAAGTCACAAAAACAGAATTTTGCATAATGACTCAAGAAAATTCATTTCACTGATATATTACAAAACTATTAAATTAGTCAACATACATGCAAGTATCAATAAGATAAAGTAAATCAGTGTAAAATTTATTTCGAGGATTCCATCTTAAATACTTATTCGTAATTGAATAAAATAAAGGATTAATACACCATTTTTATTAGTCTGAGGTCATGTTTATTCTGTTTGACAATGCTTAATTAAATGAAAAATGATCTTTGGTTTCTTATTTACTTAAAGGTTAACTTTAAAACAAGCCTTGCTTTCCTTTATAACTTATTGGTTAACTTTAAAACAATCCTTGCGTAATATGTTACATTTTCCTACTTTTGATCTGTTTCCTTGCTTGTAACATTTCCTTAGTTTATTATATTTTTCTTATATCCTCTATCATCTATTTGTATGTCATGTTTACCCCCTAACTCCAACCCCACCCTTTGGCATTTCAGTAATGTACAATTGATCTCTTTAAATATGTTCAGTAATGATTAAGTACTGGTCGTTTCTCCTTGTTCGTTTGCTGTTGTATCAAATAACATCTATATGGACTGGTATTTTTCCAAAACTAGCATGAATAAGACAAGAAAAAGAAATATGTTGTTCACAGACAAGTAGTTTATATTTCTAGAGCTTTTCTAAATGCTGTAGTTGAAAGAATATGAGACACTTGCTACTTGACATCTTGTCTTACATCCATAATTTGGTAATTAACATATCTTATGTTGTCAAGTAGGAATTTGACATATTATTACAAACAAGAAATAATATATATTATTAGCATTATATTAAACAATCTTGTGGTTACTCTCTCTTCATTTAGTATGAACACATTGTTTGTTAAGAGGCACAGGGCATTGATAATAAATTCTCAGGACTTTGGGATACAAAAAATCCTCAACCAAACATAAATCGTTTGGACCAGGAGCCGTTGTTCAGACCAAAGCGAGTGGTTCTACTAAATAAGCTGAGATGTTAAGAAGGTGGCACTGGAGTGTTTGAACCTGTGAAACAAAGATACAACAAGCAAGCCAGGCCCTTAGCTGGCACAACAATACAAATCAGAGATACCTGACCTTAATTATTGGCACGGTTACTGCATGTTCTAAGTGTCGTTGACCGCTGTACAGTGGTCTACTTTATATTTCTCTTGCTAATACTCTGTAGAAGATTCGTACATAGAATTAAATTATCATGTTGTGCTTAAAAATTAACCCTTTAAAGGTATAACTGACGATGTATCCATGTTTGTACTCGAGAGCGAGAGTTACTGTTTATGCATTAAGCCTAGACTCACGCAATCCCATGAGTTGTCCTGCATATGTAGCAACACACTTTAGTATCAATAGCCTGTTCAATCGTTGAAGTAAAATAATAAGGTTAATATCAAACATTGAAAACATAGTCATGTATTTTTATGTCAATACATTTACAGTATCATAGATTGATTTATTTGGTTGAAATGGGTTTAAAATAAAATAAAAACTGATGTAAAGCTTTCTTTCAACAGATAGATAAGTCCCCATTAAAGTGTTTTGTGTACTATTTCATATCTTTAACATTTAAGGGTTTGCAGTATTTATACAATCAAGCAGGTCTTTATCTTAACATTGTTAGAATAATACGTTTTTGAGAATAAAATGCGTATGTAATATGTATTTTGTGCACCCCTTCGAAGAAAAGTGGGTAAATTGTTTTGCTTATGTACGTCGGTCGGCCGGTCGGTAGATCACATGGTTTCCGCTGATTATCTTTAAAGCGTTTTCTTACAAAGCCTTCATATTTCACATAATGATTGGTCATAACTAGTAGATGACGTCAATTGATTTTAGGGTCACTAGGTTAGAGGTGATGGACACAGGGGCCATAAATGTCAGAATGGTTTCCGCTCATAATCTTGGAAACTATACATCCCAAAGTCTACATATTTCACATATTAATTATTCATGTGTAGAAGATGATCCTTTTAGATTTTAGGGGCCTTAAGACTAAAGGTCAAGTGAAATGTCGAAATGGTTTCCACTCATTATCTTCAAAACTACGTGTTATCGAGCCTTTTTGATACACATTTTGATTGATTATCACTAGTTGACGACCCCTTTTGATTTTGAGGTAACTGAATCAAAAGTCAAGGTCATATTAACTTTGAATGTTACAAAGGTGTCCGCTTATTCTCTTGACACCAATTAGTTACCAAGTCTTCATATTTCACATTTTGATTGGTCATAACTAGAAGATGAACTTTTTTATTTTGGGGTCACTAGGTCAAAATAGGTCTAAGTGACTTTAAATGTCGGAATGGTTTCCACTAATTATTTTCAAAACTACTTTTATCGAGACATTTTGATATACATTCTAATTGATCATCTTTTGTAGGTCAAAGGTCAAGTAAAACGTCGAAATGGTTTCCACTCATCTTCAAAACTACTTAATTGATTATCACTAGTAGATGACCCCTATTGATTTTGAAGTCAAAGGTCAATGTCACATCAACTTTGAATTTAACAAAGGTGTCCACTTATTCTCTTGATACCAATAAGTTACCAAGTCTTCTTATTTTGATTGGTCATAAGAGATAACCTTTTTTATTTTGGGGTCAGATCAAAGGTCAAGGTCACATGTGCTTTAAATGTCGGAATGGTTTCCGCTCATTATCTTAAAAACTATCTACCACAAAGTCTTCATAATTCACTTATTGATTGGACATAACTATATGATGACCTTTATTGCTTTTAGTGTCATTAAGTCAAGACCACAGTAACCTCATATTCAAAAGAAGTTTCCGATCAATAACCATTGAATGGCAAGTTTTACAAATGTCTAAGCTTGTATGATCACTGGTCATGACCAGAAGATGGCCTTTACAGATAAAGGGGTTACTTTGTCAAAGGTAAATGTCACAGTGACATTTATATGATAATATAAACTTTATTTCAGTTATCCTTGCACTTGTAGAATTTTCTAATGATACCTTTCATTCAGTTTCAGGTCATATATTGGTCTTATTTTTCTTTTCCATAACTTAACACTTCCATGTCCCCATGTTTATATATCCAAATTACCAATAGTATCAGTCAAGGGCTAGAAAGGGGGCACATGTGTCGTTCGACATTTCTTATTTACTTTCTCATTTTTCATTGCCGGTGTGATTTTTAGATCATCAGAACTGAAGGTTCAGGGTAAGCTATTAGTATCAAAGGCGAGTGCTATGGTGTCCGTCGTCCGTCGTCATGCGTCAACAATCAACTTCTTCTCTGAATCTGCTGGGCAGATGTACAACAAATTACCTACAATATTTTTTTTATATTTTTCACCTCAACCCCTCTGGTATGTTCTTTTATATTACTCATGCAAAATTGTAGTAAAATTGTATATATTGTGTGTATTTGTATAATAAAGTAATATTCAACTTAGACGTAAAAACTTTCTTGAACCAAAAGTTATCAGCCTTTGCCATTAGTATGGGGTCAAGTCAGTTTGCCTGAACATAATTTCTCTGTGCTTGAGCAGGATTTACTGTTTGCGGCTCAGTTTTTGTATTTCAATTTTGAATTTCATTACATTTTAATGGACTGATCAATTTTCAAAGCAGGTAAAATATATTGCACAAATTCAGCAGGTTACTGGTTGATTTAAAACTGAAAATTGTGCATTGGTTAAAAAGACACAATTTGTAATATATCAATAAAGAAGTTTAATGATTATAATATATTAGTAAAGATGTGTATCTTTTGTAACATGCATTTATGGGTAAAGAAGGTATTAATTGTAACATACAGGCATGCATAAAGGGGTGCCATTTGTAACATATATGTAAAGGTAAAGAGATGCAACTTTTGTAACATATATGTATGCGTAAAGAGGTATCAGTTGTAACATTCATGTATGGGTAAAGAGGTATCATTTGTAACATACATGTATGCGTAAAGAGGTATCAATTGTAACATACATGTATGGGTAAAGAGGTGTCATTTGAACAATATTTTATTCCAAGCATGTCGTTAGGCGAGAATTACACCAAAAGAATACTGCAGATAAGGTCCCGCTGAAAGATGATAATACTCGATCAGGCTGTCTAGCTATTAAATGCTGAACAGTTTGCTGACATTAATTCAAGCCATCAGTTTCAATATGGAAACAGGAAATTATACAATATCGACCGAGTATGAATTCCTTCTGTTTATAAAAAGTCCTGGTCGCGACGTTCATGTGACACAAAGAGCAGAAAGATCGCTGTATAAGGCCGATATCCTATTTACACACCGTCATACTATTAGCTTAAGCAAAGGCTGTGGGCCTGTAATGCAGTCGTAATATTGCGATAATCAATTTGGCGAATAAGTAAATGAGCCGTCATGCAAATGTCGCATGGTTCGCTGCATAGTAATTGGAATAATTTGTTTACAAAATGTTGCCGAATAATTCAAGGAGTTATTTATTACTTTACACTCATGTCTTTTGTTTTTCATTTTCCGATAAAGTAGCTAAACATTAGGATTTATATATCAGAACTATCTATTCTCCCGACATATGAACAATTTACCAGAGCAGTAAGCACGCGTGAATATAGAAAACCAAACGATTCGCAGAGAATTATAAACTTTACAAAAAGGAAATATATGTTAAAAAAATAATAATAAAAACATGATTTAAGATGTAAATGTTTGTGATAAGTGATGATCACGCTTTAAAAACACGGAATTATTAGACGCCGTTTGTAAGCAAGCGGCGATAAGTAGATATGCATTTGTCCATACAGCAATGGATTACATTGCATGTTTACACTTCGTTTTCTGTCAATACATTTCCGGTTTTCTTATTAATTGAAGACGATTTCACAATAACGCCACCGAGTTTTCGGAAACATATTAAGGTCATTGCCATTTTCCAAAAAAGTGGTTCACAGAAATATTTTCGGTGAATCAATATTTAGGTGGTGCCTAAAATAACTTACACGTCGGGTTGTAGATTTGTATACATGTGTTTAATTTAAGCTGGGACCATATTTAAATGAATGAAAAAATCTGTTAGATCGTATTTCATTTATAAAGTGTAAACAAGTTGATCCTTGTGTCTTTCTTAGAGTGAAATACAATTAGCTACCGGTTCTTTTGTCAATACCGATCCAATTAAGGTAATACAATAAATACTGTTTATTCAAACATGAACTTGAAATAGAGAAATACTGGCAGTTAAGTATGGACACTAACAGCTTAAATCATATACAAATAACTAAACAATAGTCATTGAAACTGGACGAATAAACATTTCTGATCAACAACGATACTGTTATCAATGTTATATGAACATTGTTAGTTTACACAAATTTATATTAGTTCGATTGTGTTGGAAGCTCTAAGCTTATTCAAACACTCTCGAAGAACTCGATGAACATTGTTGAGGATCCTTATCATCATTTACTTTTTTGTCTTAATTTAGGCATTTACTAATCAAAACCTGCACCTCGTATTTTTGTAGATGGCCATCAATTCAAAAGCTGTCTGCTTTAACGTCAACCGATTCAAAATCTATTTACAAATTAGGTCGATTTTTATATTTGGCTTTCCTTTCAGAAAAAGACAATGAAATCACGCCCATTCACTCACTATGATACCAGATATCTATATACTACTTAAAATTTGTTTAACCTAAATGGTTACATTTTTGTTTTGCTTGTAAAGGTATATGCACCACTATACATGCTATACGTGTATTTAATACCAATAAAATCTGTTTTTGTTCTATTGTTCTCTTTACAAAATAGTATATGTTAAGTCGAGAAAGTTTTGCATTTTTGGTGGAAGGCCGATTGTTTTCACAAAATTGTTTCAGTTAATTATCGGAAGGCATTTACAATATGGGTTATGTATACCAGCACTTACCTGTCCCTACGTGCGGTCTAATCAAATATATTAAAAAGACAACAAGAACAAAAATAAATAAATAAATAAATAATAATAATAATAATAAATAAATAAAATAAATAAAGTTTATTTATACGGACTAGTATATATTCATACATGCCTGTCACTTAAAACCATTTGAAAATGATCGTATATTGCAAAAATGTTTAGGATAATTTTTTAATGTTTTTTGTCAACAAATATCAGCCTCAATATTTTCTATTATAAATTCTAATGCATATATATTTATATATATATGATAAAAAGTGCCGGGACTAGAAAAATCATGTTTTAAAAATAACTGACATTAACTGATTTTTCTTATTGTAATATAATGCCGACCGGTTTCTATACCATAAGGGCAAATAAACATGATATCATTGTAACCACGTAAATTGAATAGCTCTGCATAGGCAGAGCGTCCATGCAGATCTATTCCGCGAACGGTATCTATTACTTATTTCCCTGAATAACGGTAACTTGATTACGGTGAAATCTGTTACGTATTTTATGACCTGTAACGATCTTTGTTTTTTACCCGGGTTTCCAAACACACGCACATAAAATAGTGTGCAGTTGCAATTTTGAAGCAATCTGCATATCGGACAAACCACGGACTCGGCTTGTTATTCTTTTAAAAGATACATAACATTTATGTTGGAATAATGTGATATTTTTTTTATATCGGATATAGAAGTAAGTAAGTAAGTAAGTACGGTTTCCTATTTACATCATTTTCTTCCCAATTGTTTGTTGTTGGCTATTTATCGGAGGAACATACACTGCACAAGGGCTTGGATCATAAAGACTTTCATCGTTTTGTTTTAGTACCATAATGATTTTGTAGTTGAATGCTTCAAACATTAAAATGTTGAACTAAAAATGAATTACCATCAGCGAATCTTTCATAAAATTGATCATTAATATGTACGTAAATGCAAATTAGATTACGAGAAATACTGCGATATATCATTATCACGAACTATTAACACTATTATTAACTATCAACCCTGCTGGTTTTAAACCTTACTACAAACAAACTCTTACATCTGTGCGATACCTGACATTGTAAGGGTTATATGAAAGCAAATTCTGATTCTTTTACTCTTATACATTATATATTAGGAAACGTCTGTTCTTAATAATCAGATATTAAAAATCGCTCATGAATGTGAAAGCCACTGATCTTTTGCAGGCACAAGCATAACAGAGTGAGTAAATATGATCACCCTAAAACTGCAAAATGAAACTGTCATTTTGATTTTGTTTTAATACTAATTTGTATATCAATGCTGAAAATACAGCAACAAACATTATCGTTATTTGCAAACGTTTTGTATTTTCATGAAGATACTGTTCTGGAATTGGCGACCACATTATTGTTATGATCAATGAATGGCTAAGGTCCGAAACGGCTTGTCACGTGTATAAGGCTGTACAAAGTTACACACCTCCTCTTTTGTTCGTAACGTCTATCCTATTTTGTTCGTAACATCTATTGATTTGCTGATTTACCCCGCAACTCTCCAAAGCTAAAGCTTGGCAAAAATGAATGTTTCATAACTACTGGTATATATGCATTTTACACTTGCACGTTCGGCATTCTTAAAGGAGAACCACCATTGTAAAGATCATACTGAAACTTTCAATCTTTTTATGGGGGAAGACCTCTGTATTTAATTAACCAAAACTTCGATAACAGAGTTTACTTGTATGTGCTATGTGTTAAAAACAATGTTTGTGCATTATAACACGTGCTTGGGATAGAATGTCGTCTATGTCGTTTTATTGTCAGTCATTGCAAAAACTTTTCATAGTTAATTGGCGGCAATTGTTTCAACGCGTTATACAACATATGAACACCTGGTCAAGTAAAGGTCCCCACCTAGAAGCCTGTCATATAAGGACCCATTGACAGATGACAACCGCCTCCGTGGTCGAGGGGTTAGAGTCGATGACTTATGATCCAGTTTCCTCTCTGGCGTGGGTTCGATCCCCGGGAGATGCTTTAGTAGTTTAGCGCGGAGGAAGGTAGTTAAGTACTGGTGTAACTCTCCAGGAACTATTGTTAGGAAACTACCCGCCTATATAACTGAAATACTATCGGAAAAAGGCGTTAAATGAAACAAACAAACAAACAGACAGACAGATGACAACACTCAATCAGTTTTGGGCTAGTTATCAAACTGTTATATCATATGCTGGACAATTGCTGAAATTACTTCAAGTCGGCATTTTCAATATGGAAAAAAGAGGTATAAGAGCATGTATGAGATCTGCCTGTTATTAAATACCTGGTTACAAGTTTCATGTTACACCGGGAGCAGTCAGATTGGTGTACACGCACGATATTCTACTTACACACTGTCATACTATTAACGTAAGCAAAGGTTTATAATGACTTAGATGTCATTCTATCCCAAGCAATATCAACGTTCTGCCTTAATGAATAGCAAATCGTTGCATTTATCTTTGACTTCAAACCACTTGCCTCCCTCTGCTATGTGTTCGAATATAAATCAGAACCTTTGTGAGTAAGCTTTCCAGCTAGCTTACAGATCGTTGATAGTTCTTCTCATATGCCCGTTCCGTGCTCAGACGGGCAACTGGGATGGTCCTCCATAACCTGTTCGTTTTTATTAATAATTATAATACAAATGCTTATTAAGCGCTTTGTTTTTATCACGTACTTGACATATACTGTCACTTTAGATTATCAACATGAAATGAGCTCCAAGGTAGGATTCGTTTTAACTAAGTCCTGGGTTTTTGGTTCGCGGGGGACAAAATCGTCGGTTAGTTTTTTGTTTGTGTTAAAAAAAACAACAGGATAAAGGCTAATGTCAAGAAAGGGGCGTTTTATATGCATTAAACAATGTGATTGACCCCCCTGATGGGATATTTGGTCTTTGCTATTAATTGTGGATAGGAACCCTGTCCAGTTATATTGTGTTCGTATTTAATACCGACGGAACAGTTAAATTATAACTTTGAAAAATATTACTATCAAATAAATCTAAAACATGTCCCAATGTTAAAAGGCTGTCCTTGCTTTTTATTGAAAACGTTATAATGCTGCTTAGGCATTAAGTTTACAATATCTCGTTTACGATTCGTCTCCAGTTTTTAATGAAAGGAACATTATGAAAATATAACCGCCTCTTAGAGTCGATTACTTCTTATGCAGTTACCTCTCTGCCGTGGGTTCGATCCCCGGGAGATGCTTTGGTAGTTTAGCGCGGAGGAAGGTAGTCTAGTACTGGTGTAACTTTCCAAGAACGATGGTTAGGAAACTACCCGCCTATATGACTGAAGTACTGTTGGGAAAAGGCGTAAAATGAAACAAACAAACAAAAATTATGAAAATAACACATTTTTTTGTTTCCATTTTTTAAATTATGTATATTTTCTCCCTTTATTGTATTACTTTACTGCATGCATGCAGGTCTATCTCCCCACGTGACTTACAGAACTCGGTCTTTTCAACAAGACAAGATTTGTGAACATGCAAGAAAAAGACCCTATTGCGGATTTTCGTTTGTTTAATTTTTAAGGTATATCCGGAGAAGATAGACCTGTGACGAACAAAATAAGAAGTTTGTAACGGACACTCCGGGGACCCAAGTTACTATATAATTGTAACCAGCAATACTGATTCTATATAAACGAACGACAGTGCCTAACTTTGAAAATAAGTCCGGTGTATCAGCTTTGATACCACGGTTTACAATTTGTGAAAATTAAACAGAAATATCACATAATATGAAAATAAAAGCTGCATAAATGCATTGCGTAATAGGCATGATGCGCCGTTTCTTGTAAAGATGCTATCAGTTTTTTATAATCTTATCATGCACAGCAAAATCAACTGCTTTTGTTTTGTCCGTTCACTATTGTTACACTGTTAAAGCTATGTTACAAAAACAAAACTCGAACGCATACGAAAACTATTTAAAAATTTATGAATTTAATCCTTGTGTTAAAGTTTTTTCAAAGCCGATGTTTTCAGTTCATATGCTTGAAATTGCGTATTGGAAACATGTAAATTAAACAGAAATGTTATATAATTAATTTAAACTTTGCATTATTTAAGTACATGATAACTGGAACATTTAAAAAACAAATTTCAAGGGTGAGATTTTTTTTAGTTATCTGCGCTTAGTTATCTGCCCTTGAATTGAGCGTATTTCAAGGACGTTTTCAATATTAGCAAGGTCTTTTTCTGTTTCCCTTAAGAGGGAATATACAAGAAAGAATATATAGGAAATGTTAAGAGCAGTATATCTTTTCTTCTTTTCTTTAAACTACGCCAAATTTCTTAAAACTTGGCAAACCTTTTAAGAACTTTCATACATTTTCATACAAAAATGTTTTCTGATCGAATAAAAAAGCAAAGGATCAATTGATAAATATAAACCAATTAACGGACTATCTGCACGTTGAATTTATTTAATGTCTTTGTCCTGCTTTATATTCGGAAACGTCCATTCAATGTTGATGGGGTTACAATTTCACAATACTGAAGAAGAAAAAAAGAACTGTAAATCGTGTAGGTGTTGGTCAGGCTCTACCAACGTGCAGGATGGCTTTGCGTTATATAAGTTGATAATGCTCATCACTGTCATTTTCAACGCGATGTGAAAATAAAATTAAAATAGAGGTGAAGTTAGCTTGTGTTAAAATAACACACAATACATTTCACCTTCCTGGTACCAGTTCTCAGAAGAAGGGTTGAAACTTCTTGGAAATTATATAATGAAAGGAATGTTTATTTCTCCAAGGCCGTATACATACAAATTATCAACCTATCTACAAGCGTTTGGTTTAAACGTGTAATTTATAATAGGCAAAATCAATATTTAAGTATCGAAATCTTTATTGAAGAGTACTTTAAATTGTAAGAAACATTCTTGTTTCATTATATTTTGATTGGGACATAGTGACAAGTTTTTTTACTGACCTTTAAAATCTTAAAGTTTGGAACATTTATAAACTTTAAAGAGGTGTATTTGCGTTATTTCTATCTTAATGATTCATCAGTTTCAAAATCCTTTTTATAATCTAAATCATACACATGTATTTATTTAACATATTACTATGTAAACTAGTGACGTACAAAATAGAAGAAAAAACAAAGATAAATATATTGTAAATACATAATGCAGAACATATTCTTATGAGTTTAAAAACTGTTACTTTTTAGTCTTAAACTATTTGGGCCCTGTTTAGAAATATACAATAGCGAAACGAACTGTTTTCGACTGAGCTCAATGTGAATATTTTGTGCTCGCTAGATGCATAAAAAGGCGACTATTTCTCTGAAAACAAATATTTATTTGTAAACATAAGAATAAACAATTGGATACAACTATTGTCTTACAATAATTTTAGTGATGTAAATAACGAATTACCTTTTTCAGTTTTTCTTGTAAAATATGAACGAAGTCGAAACAAGTTCTCATCTTCTGGTTGCTGCTTTCGACTTTGGGACGACATTCAGTGGTTATGCCTATTCATTTCGTGACAAACCTTTACAGATATACACGAACAATACTTGGAATGATGGTACCTATCTCTCTTTGAAAACACCTACATGCTTATTGCTAGACCCTGAAGAGAAATTCCATTCCTTTGGATATGAAGCAGAAAATAAATACAAAAAGCTTGTTGAAGACGACGAGCACCATAGTTGGTTGTTTTTCAGACGTTTCAAAATGTTATTGCATAAGAATAAGGTAATGCTGTACTGATATTTAGTTATTTAGTTTTGTTTAAATCTTTTCCTATTTATGTTCATTAGTATCAATTACTTTAACTTTACTGTAAAAAAATAAAAAACAAAATCTTTTAGAAATTAGATTATTGTTAACGATCCGTTACCCTACACTGCCTATCTGAAGAAAGGTATATTGAGTTACAGTAAGAAAATAATTTGTACAATATTGACCTATTTTGTTTTCACAATTTCATTTAGAAAAAATAAATAATACCATAACTTATGGAAAAAATCGCCATGAAGTTATTTGAAAAATAATCTTTTCCATTAGCTTTTACTGTGGAACTTCCCATTTGCTATACAGCTATTTGAATCTTTCTTCAGAAATTAAATAAACAAACGACAGTCAAAGACATTACGGGAAAGCGGCGTATGTTTGCCATTGACATTTTCTCAATGTCAATACGTTATCTGCGGGACCATTTCTTTTTGGAACTTCAAAAGCAATATTCGGGCATCGAACAGACTGATATACAGTATGTCATAACGATTCCCGCAATCTGGGATGACAACGGTAAACAGTTCATGAGGATGGCAGCATTACAGGTATTAATCATGTCTGCGGTTGTTTCTAAACTCAAAACTACACTATTTTCATGTTTAAATGTTTAATTTTGCTTTAGCCACTGCTAAGGGGCGTGGATGGTCACTAGCAGTCACCAATGAACAGGCTTAACCAAACTGAGTTAGCAACATTTTCAATTTTGCCGATTTGTGAGTCTTTAACGGATTCTGTTTTCCCAAATATCTAAGATAAATCATTTTAATTATAGCTCAATTCCGCGTATGTTTTTGAATTAACAAAAATTTGGATTAAACAGATCTTTTTGGATTTGGTGCAAATATGTCAATATGAAGTAGATAAATACTGAACTTTTGACCTCTACATGTGTTGCAAGGTGTGGTGTAAATTTTAATATTTTACGTTTAGCATCTATATTTGCGTTTCAAATATATGAATCAAAGAAAGTGCTCCTTATACTATTTCATATGTTCCCGACTTTCTTTACAGGCAGATATTGATGACAAAAAGCTGACACTTGCTTTAGAGCCAGAAGCTGCATCTATCTGTTGTCAAAAGATTTCTGTTGATTCAAAAGACAAAACAAATATGTCTGGTTTGCAATATATCGTGATAGACATTGGAGGTAAGCGATCTGTTTGAGACGCTTTTTAATAAGAGCTTGCCTTAAATATATACCTGTTTGGACATAAAATAATGTACCTTAATGATACAATTTTAAACGACAGCAATTAAAACAATTGTTCAGTCGACTGAAATTTTTTTACTTAATAATTAATCAGTTTTTTCCCCTGTTAAAGGTGGCACTGTGGATATAACGGCTCATCAAATAAATGACAATGGAACGTTAACCGAATTGTACAAAGCAAGTGGAGGTCCATGGGGTGGAATATACGTCGACCAAAACTTTTTGAACTTTTTAGATGATTTATTTGGAGAGCAAGTTATAAGCTTTTTTTAAAGAAAACAATCTTGAAGACTATTGGGATATGATGCGAGCATTCGAAACCAATAAGAGGCAGGTAAAATTTGCTGATTCTTACGGACAGGAGCAAACGTACATTACTATTAAGCTGCCTTTAGCTTTAAGGACGACTTCAGAGAAAGAAAATGGCAAAGTCTTGGAGGAATTGATAAGTTCTTCGTCTTTCTCATCGGACATTGTTACTAAAAAAGACAAAATTAGAGTTAAAGTAGAATTAGTGAGGAAGTGGTTTGAGGGACCTGTTAATGATATCATACGCCATATTGAAGATCTACTAAAACAACCGGAAATACGTCAAGTTTCAACTTTGATCTTGGTAGGTGGTATGGCCGAGAGCTGTTACGTACAAGAAAAAATTAGATATGCATTTTCATCAAAGCGCTTGATCATACCAAAAGATGCCGGTTTGGCAGTACTTAAGGGAGCAGTTGTTTTTGGACATCAGCCTTTGTCTATATCAGTACGAGTTATGAGGTATTCTTATGGCATAGAAATGTTCAAACGGTTCAATTGCACGAAACACGGATCCTCATTAAAGGTAGAAGTTGAAGGGAAAGCATATGTTGATAACGTGTTTCATGTGTTTGTGAGAGCAGGCGACACGGTAAAAGTTGGTCAGGAAGTTACGCATTTCTCTTCTCCAGTCAACAAGGAATTCTCTTTGTATCCGATCTACCGCTCAGTTTGCAGTGATCCAAAATATACGACAGAATCCGATTGTGAAATGGTCGGGTTACTGACACTTAAACATGTTGGACAAGATGATTTTGAAAGCAAGAAGGTTAAATTAACTATGATATTTGGAAATACGGAGCTTGTTGTTAAAGCTGAAGGAATAGATACCGAAGAGAAAAGTTCCTCGGCATTCAATTGTCTAATGGAGTAAAAAGACAACTCCTGTTGGACTTCTTAACACTAAGTTATTGCATCTAGACCATTTTTACAAAAAATATTTCTTATTTCATTTAATAAGCGGTGAAGAATGATAATTAAGGAAGAGATCTCCCCTTTTTCCAGTTTTGATATTTTGTGTTTGTTTGTGATTTTGTTTGATTACTAATTTTCGAAAACAGTTTTATGTATTATTCAAGATGAAACGTTTGAACTGGGTTTGGATGATAGATACATGTGTGTGTGTGTGTGTGTGTGCGCATGTGTGTGCGTGTGTGCGTGCGTGTGTGTGTGTGTTTGTGTGTAAAATTTACACCTTATGATTAGGATTTTTTTATTTTACATGTATTAAGTTTATTTAACAGGAATATATACTATAATGTCAATTTAGAATAAATTCTTCCTAAAGAAAGTCGGCCAAGGGTTTAAGGAACGTTTTATCAACCTGCCATTGATTGCCTGGAAGTGTGAATGGACCCATTAATCCGCGCCTACAGGCGCGGTGCTATTTGTGTATTTTTGTCCATGGACCTGATTTTGATCAATGAATCCCTCCGATTTACAGTTAGAAATAAATTCGGAACCAAAAATTCCTTCAGATTTCTACTATGTAAAGGTATATATTGGTTTCCCTTTCAGTGATTTGCAGCATGTCATATTAATGAATGAGAACGGGAACAAATTTCACGCGTCATCCACTGGGAAGGCAGTATAAATAACAAAACAAAAATAAACTTAAATTCGGTAATTTATTTCTTACATTTGTATATTCTACAGGAAATAACTAATTATTTTGTAGTACGCAGTGCGTTATGCATTTATTTCATTGCTGCGAAAAACTTGTTACATGAATTCGAAAGCTATAAATAGATGACCTTATAACAGTGTGAAAAATCCGAAATCTATTTATGGAAGAAGTATTTTTAGTTTTTGAGTCTGTTTAAGAAAAGATATTAAAAAAATCTAATCGGGAAAAATTGACTGCAAAAAAAGCTTTTACTGATCAGAGACTTATATTACAGATCAAATACAGTTAGATGTAGCTTATGTAAGAAAAACTAATGTGTAGTCTCCCTTCACCATATGAATGTTTTCGATTTGTCTCCCTTTAGTATATCATGATATACCATTTGCCGGGAAACATGTAACGGACATTTTGAAAAATATAGTCGGTGAAAGATTTTGTTGTGGCTTATTTACACATGGATTTTTTTTATATGTCTTACCATGATTAGTTGTTGATATTTGTAGAAAATGAGTAGCATTATTAGTGAAAAAGAAAATATACATACTCTGCTATTTTATAATCATTTTGTATTACTCTTTCATTACTGACTTCAGTAGTGACACAAACAGAAGAATATTGCACTACAGTCATGATACGTTAAAAGTCTTGTAAAAATCTGGAAAAGTTTGATCCCTCGTAAGCATTAATCACGTCAATATTACATGAAAATTGCAGACTCGGTTTGATGAAGTCTGTACATGAGGTATAATCAAAAAAATGCAACCTTCCTTGGCCCCCTATTAAGTCTTGTTCGTATTGGAATTATTTTCCTTACCAGGTAGGCATTAGTCAGAAGCATATTAATTTTTATTTAATATCCTCTCTGATGGAAAATGTATATAATATTATAATTATGCAAATTTAAATGATTTACAAAACATCCGGAATAATGTACAATAGTACTTAAATTAAAAAGAAAATGATCTGTGCTTAGGAATGATTTTGCAAGGTATCTGTAATGAGCAATTTTTTGTGGAGAGCTTCCTTCGCAATTGATGCATTGCAGCAACATTTGTACTTGTTTATATCTCGTTTTTGATCTTCAATTATTGTTTTCATTTTTCTTTGGGGTCTCACTTTTAAAGCGGTATGTCTCAAGATTCATGTAAGTTATTAAAAAAAAAGATAAAATATTTTTAAAAGTAAAATATTGTTAAGTGAACAAAAAGTAGTTAACACGCTGTAGAAGACACTTTCAACTTTCAAGGTAATGTACCAAAAATGAAGTCACAAATATTAAACATAGCTTTTACCGCGTTATTCAAGCACTCGAAATATGGTGATGATACCGCATCAACAATCTTTATCTGACTGACAAATGAACCATGTGAAATATTTCTAAAATTTTAAATCTTATGTTTAATTTCCATGGTATCCTAGAGCATTTTGTCATATTTTATTTTCATGATTTTAGCTCAACTGGAGGCATGCAGCTTAAGTTATTCACATTTTCCAGGACAATTTCAATACTGGACTAATCATAAGAAATTAGGCAAACGCATTCACTTTGTTTTTTATTAAAATCAGGGATACACATTTGAAACGAGACCAAGGTTCAAAGATAGAAGAAAATAATTACAAACATCATTGAATGTATTGATGAGTGATAAACAAATACTTTTTTAAATCCAAGCACAGAAGGCGCTGAATTTGTTTGGGTCTTCGGATGTCAGAAAGGTGAAGTTATGAGATTATAAACCAATTTGTTTTTGAATAGTGTCACCAATGATTTTCAGTGTTTAACTGTAGCTATACGTCTGATTACAACACTGATATTCAATACAATGTTTATTTGGTTTAAAAAAAATAAAAAAAAGGAGTTGCCTCAACTGAGATTTGAACTCTTGACCTCTCGATTCTTAAGCGATCGTGCAAACTCCTCGGCCACGGTGAAGTTACATGACAACGACATGAAGAAAACCATATTATTCTTAATAAGGGTTTGTAACTGCTAAACATTATGGAGCTTACTATAAGTATGTATATCCATAAAGAATAAAAACAATGACCATTCGGGAACTGTCTTGCTTGAAAATTAATACGCCTGTCATTTGACAATCTTTACGCAGTGATCTCCCCTGAATGTTTCGGCGTTAGTGTACATAAAAAGTAACTGCTTCAAAAAAGCGACCACTTCCGGCAATTTGCAATCAGCGGCATCAGGGTCTGAAATTTAGCTACCATTATTTGTTTGGTCTGACGACCCAAACAAATAAAGACAGCATTGAAAACTAAAAATTATCAAGAAAAATAAAACCAAAATAAAAATACGTTGTGACACAGCCTTAAATGGGTCGCATTACAAATGATATTTTACATCCGCCTGTGTCAAAAAAAGAAGAAGACTGTATGAATAGTTAAGCACGCCAGATTAATTAATTGTATGCGTCAAACTTAAAATAAAACCAACAACAAATGATTTGTTTGATGCAAGCTAGTCTACCAGGCGGAATGATATTCCCTGGTCTAGTGTGGAAAATTTTCATAATACATGTCTACTATTGTCACTGCATGTCCTTAAATATATTGCCGGGGATAAGTTATTCAATCATTATATGTCGTTGTTTTGATATATAGAGGATATTTGTTTGTTTGTGTGTATACTGTTTTTAAAGCTCACTCGATGAAATAAAATTACATCTTACACAACAAACAAACAAATTTTGTATGAATTGAAGTAAGTTTTCTTCTTATTACTTTTGAAATGTCAGTTATTTATCAATTTCAGCTTTGCTTTTCTCTAAACAGCTCTGACAATGTCAGAATTGTCAACAGTAATAAAATTGAGATACTTCATGGGGGAATCATAAAAAGAAGTCTCATCATTGAAAGTGTGAAATTATATTTTGATAATTTTCACTGCGAAGTTATCAAATATAACTTTCACGGATAAATCAGTAAGCCACTGTAAAGCATAAAATAAATATTTTTCCTACTTTGTCAAGAATGACCTCGTGTCTGTTAATTCTGGAAAATCGATTATTAAAAAGTAAAACCTGTGCACAGTTTTATTATCAAGACAATTAAATATTTCATAGCTTTTATCTTCAGATCAAATATTCTTAATTTTTATAGTCTTGTGTAATCAGGATTATTTAAAGATGATGTGTTCCACCGTTTGACCATGAAATGTTTTCCCAAATGTGCGGAGTCATAGTTTGGTTATGAATTTACTTCGATGAACCCTAGATAAAGAAATTCCTTTAAGTGTCTTCCATTTATATCTATATAACAATATGCGACGGTATGTAATACTATATTTAAACAAAATAATACTGTTGCAAAACTAAAACAAGCCATGCGTTCAGTCTAAAAGTAAAGTTACAAAAATATTGACTGATATCAGGGGAGACAACAGCCGGTGATAGACGCAATTATCACCTTTTAAACGTATAGGAATGTTACATGTTTATTTCTTATTTAGACAACCTACAGTTGCAAAATAAATCATTTTCCTCATGTTGATAAAATGTATATTAGATAAAAGATAATAATATCGTCCACAGAAAAAAATCTCAAATAAGGTAAACAGTTTTATCTGTCAATGTATGTATATCATATAAAAGTCTTTATCTATCACATTTTAGAGCATACTTATGTATAATAAGTAATGTATGTGGGATTAAGTAATACTCTATGAACCGAAATTGTACATATTGACTAGATTATTTACGTTTTGTAAAGTAACGGTTAAATTTATAAATCCCTGAAACTAAGTGTACATAAATAGTCTGTTAGGCTTAACAAATATTGCAGAATAATTTGCATATAGCTTTGTTTATTGTTGTAAATTATTTATCTAAATACGGCATCTATATAATTAAATGCTTGCGTAAATATAATATTAAAAATTGAATTAATTGTGAGCGCAATCAAATCGAGAGTGTGTAACATTTTCAAATTCACCGTTTCGGACGTTCTTTTTCTCTCTTTTTGGTTTATTTAATGACGAAGAGACTTCGTGTGACGGTGTCCGACGTGCACTTTTTGAAATGGTAAAATGACTGAAACTTTAGTTGATACAGAATAGTTTAATTTCGATTGTGTAAAATGGCGAGATTTCGATATTACTTCACGGAAGTGATCAGTACAATACCTAGTTATGCCTATCGCCGGCACTTTCTGCTTCGCTGCATAAAATGACCGCCAAAGCTATAAATAAGAAAAGAACAGTGTCCAGCAGGCAAAACTGCAGGCGCGATTTCGACATTACTTCCCAGGAGTTATCAGTACCATTCCAAGTTGTGCATATCGCGTGCACGTTCTGCTCCGCTGCACAAAATGGCCCCCAGAGTTTTAAACAGAAAAATCTTGTCCGGCTTAGACAGGTCAAACTGCTGGTGGAAATTGACGAAACTTCACAGGAGTGATAAGACCATAAGACCATACCTAGCTGTGCATATTATTGGCATGTTTCGCTCGCTACACGAGCTATACAAAAAAAATTTGTCCAGAGTTTAGGAGTGGTCAGAACCATACCTTGTTGTGCATGTCGCCGGGACGTTCTGCTCTTACTACACAAAAAGGCCGTCAGAGCTAGAATTAGAACAAAACTTTTTTATGACTTTTACAAGACAACTTGCTGGCAGGATGTAATTTGTAAGGAGTGATGAGTATTCCCAAAGTTTTAACTTTGTTGTGCATATCGTGGGCACGTTCCTTCACGTGTTTTTCACGTCTATATTGTTACTTGTTTTGAATGTTTACATGTTTTGTGATGTTTATCTTTTTGGATTGTCTTTGACGGTAGGTATTTTCTCACACCCTCTCCCAATTTTTACCCCCTCCCTTATAACACGTACAGCTCTTATCCCTTTAATTCTTATATTAACTTGTTCTGGTTTTTGTTATTTAGCACGTGTCCCCCTCCTTTCGCCGCCATTGTGTCCACTCCCGGTTTCGGTTTGGTGCCTGCCGGGTGCCCTGCTTGGGTGTGTCGGGGGCTGCGTCCTGTGAACGTTGCATTCCTGTGAACGTTGCATTTAACCTTGTTGATCTTTATTCTTGTTTTTCTGCTTAACTGCACAAAATGGCCGCCACAGCTAAAAATAGAAAAATCTTGTCCGGCCTTCACAGGTCAAACTGCTTTGTAATAACGAAACTTCACAAAATTGATCAGTACCAAAGTAAGTTGTGCACACCAGAGCTAAAAAGGAATAAAAAAAGTGCATGGCTTTTTACAGGTCAAACTGCTAGTGGAATTAACATGTCACTGCTCCACTTTTAGAGTACATATGTGGTGGCCATATGTTTTTGTGACAATAATACCTTCTAGTTTAAGATAATATTTGCAAGGTAAAAGGCACTAGAGATGATTACAAATCCAGATATTGTCAAGAAGATATCTCCTACATGCGTTAAGGAATTTTATTGTTACTTTATAGAATTGATCACCATGA